CCTTTGTACTTAAAGATAATTTAAAAGGAAATAAAGAAAGAAAAAGAAGTCCAGGCACCAACGGCTCACACCTGTAATCCTAGCTACTCAGGATACTGAGATCTGAAGATCAAGGTTCAAAACCAGCCAAGGCAGGAAAGTTGGTGAGACTCTTATCCCCAATTAACCACCGAAAGCCAGAAGTAGAGGTATGCTCAAGTGGTAGAGTGCTAGCCTTGAGCAAAAAACTCAGGGACAGTGCCAGGCCCTGAGTTCAAGCCTCAGGACTGGCATGTGTGCACGCACTTGCGTGTGCATACACACACACACACACACACACACACAAAGAATAAGCAATGTTTACTAACATAACTATCAGCCCTCTAAAGAGATGCAGGAAAACATTTGGCAGCAGCTTGTAATCCTAGCTTCCCAGGAAGCTGAGATCGGAGGATCATGGTTCGAAGCGAGCCTGAACTCCTGAGTAGCTAGTTAGGATTATAGGTGAGAGCCACCAGCCCCTGGTGAGAGGAAGTCTTTATGAGAGCAGGCACATGATATGAAGCTAATGGTGCCCCGATTCAAGTCACCCACACATGCCCGTTCACCTTCATACCATCTAGAATGTGAGCCTGGCACACTACACAATGTCCTGTTAGCAAGCTACTCTGGATAACTTGGAACCAGATAGCATCGTATGGAGTGTCCACCATCTTCCCTTCCCTTTTCAGAGAAGGAGAACAAGAGAACTGTGTTTTTAGTCCAGTTTGCGTGTGTGTGTGTGTGTGTGTGTGTGTGTGTGTGTGTGTGTGTGACTGCGTATGCCAGTACTGGGGCTGAAACTCAGGGCCAGGGTGTTTTCCCTTAGTTTTTTCACTCAATGGCACTTTACCATTTGAGCCACACCTCTACCCAGCTTGGCTGGTTAATTGGAGACAAGAGTCTCACAGACTTTTCTGCCTGGGCTAGCTTCAAATTGGGATTCTTAGATCTCAGCCTCCTGAGTAGGTAGAACTATGGGTATGAATCACTAGCTTTAAAGGTAGGCCCAATAAACGTAAGCCAATCAGCATTCTCAGTCCCTTACAGAGTTTCTGGCCGTGAAGATTTCCCCAGGAGGCCTTCTCCAGGCCAGAGAGAAGTCTAGGACTTCCGTTAAACTGTATGAAAGTAATCAGAATTAAAGTGAAGTCACATCAAAGCTAGCAACAAATAGATTGAGGCAGAAGGTTATTAAGGAGGTGATCACATGCATGCCTGATAATAAGGACTTTCGTGAAAATTTCTGCCAGAAGCATGACTTTGTACAAAGGGCACTACAAACTCACACAGACAATACTTCTGTAAAGACATCTGCCCAACTTCCTGTCAAACTTTGGACAGAAGCCATCTTGTTATTAGCCTAGCCAAGGATAATTGTTTCAAAACAACTTATGCAATCCTCCTTATTTTGCCTTTCAACCCCTCCCTCCAACCTCCTCCTCCTTGAATACACCCACGAGGTGTTCCACTACTCCATCTGGGGTCAGCCTCTAGATTCTACCATACTCAGGATGGCTATCTGAACCCCAGACCTTTAGCCAGACCTGGCTTTCTAAAGGTTTTCCCAAACCAGACTCCCAGAGAAGCTGGTATTCCTCCACCTGCCTGATGCCTGACTGCCAGCAGTAGATCACCTAAGAGTTACAGGACTAATGGCCAACTTCCTATCCAGTGGTCCATCCAGACCCTTCCCATAGGTGCCTTCCAGATACATCCAAGTCCTAACCCTTGGGACTGTTGAATAATACCTTGTAAGACAAAATTTACTTTGCTTATGTGATTAAACCAAGGGGTTTTGTTTTGTGTATGTCAGTTGTGGGGCTTGAATTCAGGTCCTAGGTGCTCTAGACCAGTGCTCTATCACTTTGAGACAAAGCTCCACTTCCAGTTTTCTGGTTAACTGGAGGTAAGAATCTTTTTTTTTTTTTGGTCTGGTCGTGGGGCCTGAGCACTGGGCCTGGGCGCTGTCCCTCAGCTCTTCAGCTCAAAGCTAGCGCTCTACCACTTGAGCCACAGCGCCACTTCTGGCTTTTTTCTTATGTGGTGCTGAGGAATCGAACCCAGGGCCTCAGGCATGCAAGGCAAGCGCTCTATCACTGAGCCACCTTCCCAGCCCCTGGAGGTAAGAATCTTACAGACTTTCCTACCCTGGCTGGCTTTGAACTGCAGTCCTCATATCTCAGCCTTCTGAGTAGCTGAACCACGAGTGCTGAGCTAAACCAAGGATTTTAAGATGGGGAGTTTAACCTGGGTTTCAGGATGGGCTCTCCATGCCCATAAGAGCCTTACAATAAGCTTTCTCAGGTCACTTTTTCCACCCAGCCCCACTGGAATCAGAAGGAGATTCAACACACACATAGAAGACATGGTGATAAGAAGGGATAGAGTGATATGGACAAAACCAAAGAATGACAGTCAGCAGGGCCAGAAGAAGCTAGAAAAGGGTTCTCCAAAGCCTTGAAAAGAGCACAGCCATGCCAATACCTTGATTTCAGTGATACTGAGTTTGGGTTCCTGACCTACAAGAAAATAAATTTCTATTGCTTTAAGCCATGTGGTACTTTTGTTACAGCAGCCATGTGAAACTACTAAATCATCCTTTTCCAGCTTGGAACTCCAGGATAGGATGGAAGGCCATAGCTATTGAGGGAATATGGCCTTGCCAGGTGAAGGTTCACCCCTGCAGTGATCCAAATGCTGGTGTACCCCTGTAATTGCTAGGTTGAAACTTAATCACTAATTTTTTAGAAGATGGTACTTACAGAATTCGTTAGATCAAAGACTGGAGCATCATAAGTGGGATTATGGTCAGCGATTTGTACTCAGTCAATTCTGCATCCACAGAGTCAAACAACTATGGATTCAATCAACTCCAGATCAAATATATTCAGAGAAGGTCCAAGAGCATAGCTCTGTGCTAGAGAGCTTGCCTAGCGTGTATGAGGAGCTGAGTTCTATACACTAGCACAGAAAAAATAATTAAGCTGGACACCAGTGTCTTATACCTGTAATCCTAACTACTCAGTAGACTGAGATTTGAGGGAAAAGATTCAAATCCAGCTCAGGCAGAAAAGTCTATGAGAGTCTTATCTCCAATTAACCAGAAAAAAAAAAAAGCTGGATGCTGATGGCTTATGCCTATAATCATAGCTAATATCTGATTGGTTCAAGTACATCCCAGGCAGGAAATTCCATGAGTCTTTTTTAAAATTTAAATTGTTATTTTAAAGGTGATATACACAGGGGTTATAGTCACATAAGTCAGGTAAAGAGTAGATTTCTTTTTGGACAATGTACCCCTTCCCTTGCACACTTTTCTAGACTCTTATCTCCAATTACCTGTCACAAAGTCAGTAGATCTGTGGCTCAAGTGGTAGAGTACTAGCCTTGAAGGGAAAACAAAGGAGCAGGACAATACCCTGGCCCTCAGTTCAAGCCCCAGAATCCTACACACACACACACACACACACACACACACACACACACACACACACACACACACACACATTGAAAAATAACTTTGGTTTATTATTATCATAATGATCCAAGTTGTCATAGCAATAGGGATTTCTTAGAGCTACCACATCAGAACTTTTGGAGTCAGTGCTCCTAGAACCAGTGTGGTGAAATATACCCAGGTCCTTCGAGGGAGATGACAGGCTACCCTACCCTAACAGCTGCCAAAACCAATCATGGAGCCAGACGCTGGTGGCTCATGCCTATAATCCTAGCTACTCAGGAGGCTGAGATCTGAGGATGACGGTTCAAAGCCAGCCCAGGCAGGAAAGTCTGTGAGACTCTTATCTCCAATAAACCACCAGAAAACTGGAAGTGACACTATGGAGCTAAAGAGCTCAGCTGGACAGTGTCCAGGCCCAGAGTTCAAGCTCCATGACTGACAAAACAACAACAACAACCAATCATGGAAGTTTCTCATTGGTCTAAAGAAGAATTTCTCAACTAAGAATGACATGGCACTGTTCTGAGACAGTTTGGGTTGTCAAGCTCGTGTGTGTGTGTGTGTGTGTGTGTGTGTGTGTGTGTGTGTGTGTGTGTGTGTGTGTGTGTGTGTGTGAAAGAGGGTGATGTTGCACATGCAGAGACTAGGGATTCTGCTGCTCGGAGTAGAGGGAGAGCCACGCCCCCACCACAAGAAATTGTTTCCAGAGGCCTTGGTGTGGTGACTCATGCCTATAATCCCAACTACTCAGGAAATAGAAAAAAACTGTGGTTTAAGGCTAAAGGGCAAGTTCCTATCTGAAAATTTAACTAAAAAGCATAAAAAGTTAAAAGCTGTGGCTCAGGTGGTAGAGTGCCTAGCAAAATGAGACTCTGAATTCAATTCCTACTACACACACAAACACACACACACACACACAAATCATTTCATTCCAAATGTAAATATTACCAAGGCTGAAAAGCCTGATCTCAAGAATATGTGGGAGCTAGGTGCTGGTGGCTCACGCCTGTAATCCTAGCTACTCAGGAGGCTGAGATCTGAGGATCAAGGTTCAAAGCCAGCCTGGGCAGGAAAGTCTGTGAGACTCTTATCTCCAATAAACCACTAGAAAACTGGAAGTGGTGCTGTGGCTCAAGTGGTAGAACGCTGGCCTTGAGCTGAAGAGCTGAGGGATAGCACCCAAACCCAAGTTCAAGCTCCACAACCACCACCACCACCAACAATAAATATGTGGCATTGGAACCTGAGAGAGGGATCTCAGGTCTAGCTTTTCCAGTCTTTTCCTGATAACAAGATCCAGAGAAAGGCCCATGGGCGATGGGGGAAGGAGTGCAAACAGGCATGTTACTGAGCTCCCCAGAACACTGGCTGGAGTGAAGTAGGAGTGGGGCGCTTACCTCTATCCAGGGGTGACACCCAGACTTCCTCTGAGCCGCAGTTCCCCACCCCCATACAGTATTTTAGAAGCATGCTGTGTGCGCCCCACAGAGCGTTCCCTCTTCAACACAGAGCCATCAAATCAACTCAGAGTCTTGCTCCTCTTTAATTTTCGTCTGGTAGGTACACAGCTCGGCTAAGCAAGAGGCAAAAAGAAGGCTAGGTAGTCACAGCAGGGCTATGTGAGGGATTAGGAACAAAGCCCCATCGTCATCCGGCTGCCTGATTGACTCCATAGCCTGGGGTCCCACTGGAACTCTTGCTCCCATGGTTTTGTCCAGCTGGGGCACAGGACTGCCAGAGGGAAGAAGCCGTATCTAGCTGTGGACCAGGCTGTCCTCTTAATAGCCGGCAGCCTCTCCATCCTTCCTCAGATCAGATGCTGCGTACACACAGGGTCCCTCCTGAGATATGGCTTGGACCACATTCAGGAAAAAGAGCCTTGGTGTCTGTTTCTGGCCACGGTCTTCGAGCCCCTTCTGTACCTCCTGGAGAGTAGAGAAGGAAGGTTCACGTGGAGAGTGGTCAATTTCTTTCCATAAGAGAGATGTCTGGATTGAAAAAAATGGACCTGCAAGGTGGGACTGGGCAGTGGGGAGGGGGCTGAGGACACAGAACAGGGCTGGATGCTGTTTTCAGGGCATGAATTTCTATGACATAATCAATAGCTTGAAAAAAATCCAAAAGATAAAAAAAAAAGGAGCAGGAGGGACTATGCGAGGAGGCTGTTACTCAGTTTGACATTGTGATTAATGTCTTTTTTGTTGTTGTTTATTTTATTTATTTTACTACCTTTAAATAGTTGTACAAAGGAGTTTCAATTCAACATAAGAGATTAATGTCTTTTTTAAAAACGGATTAGTTTCTACCCTGGGTCCAATTCACTAGGACCTCTGAGAGGTTCTAGTGAGGCCTTCAATGGAGGATCTAGCTTTAAAGGGCTTCAGACTGAAAGGGTCCTGATTAGGAGTCTGTTGAAGTAAAGCTTTCTAGAAGGCTGAGATTGGGCCTTTGTATCCTATATCCTCCATACACCAGAAACTGTCCCACTTGAGATCTCTAGCCTTGACTCAAGGATCTCTGTGACCAGGGACCCTTGGGATATTGAGGAGGACAGAGTTCTGGGTTTGAGATATCTAGGTTTGTGGACTGTGGCACTGTATAAGGCTTGTGATCTCTACACACAGATGAGAAGACTCGAGATCTCAGATATTCCAGAATATAGAAGGTTCCTTGAGTCATGGAGCCTTGAAAGTTTATGGATTGCAGACTCATCTAGAAGAATCCAAAGCTACAGACCCCATATTCCCAGAATACTATATGTCCAAGAAAATTAGAGTCCCATACTAAAGGCACAAGTCATCCCAGAATAAAAGACCCTCAGTGCCTAGGGCCCTAGTAGATCAGATCTAAGGCACCCAATCTGTGAACTTAGAAGCAGTTAGAGACTAAGGAAAGTCTTCAGCCCTGAGGTTGCTTGTTTCTAAAATATTAAATACCTTGTCCTAGAGTATGGCCCCCACAAGTCTCAATTTGTAAAAGGGCAAAAGTCCTAGTCCTGTGCTTCCTCAGTTCCATGCTTCCAGGTATCAATTTGGATGAATGGATCAAGAACTTCGCTTAATCAATACCCCAAATTCGAGAGATGAAGGTAGTTCTCAGGACCAGTGCCTCTGATCCAAAGCCATCAGGTACATATATCAGGTCATCTGAGCTGCCAACAGAGCCATGTCATTGGAACCCTGTAATCTTAGTTCTAAGTAAAGATACAGATTGCCCAACATCCTTAAACCTGAAGGCTGAAACAAAAGCTAGATTTTTCAGTCCTCAGAGGTTCTGTTCCTTAGAATGTAGTATCCAAACTGCCTCCCTTGCCTCAGTCCACACATGCTTTGTCAATGAAAGTCCTGACAGACTCAAGATCTCCAATGTAGGGCTGGGAAGGTAGCTCAGTGGTAGAGAGTTTGCCTTGCATGCATGAGATCCTGGGTTCGATTCCTCAGCACCACATAAGAAAAAAGAAAAAAGCCAGAAGTGGTGGTGTGGCTCAAGTGGTAGAGCGCTAGCCTTGAGCCGAAGAGCTGAGGGACAGCGCCTCCCAACCACCTCCCCCCCCCCGCCGCCGCCAAAAAAAAGATCTCCAATGTAAGTTTAGGATTTTCTCCATAGAAATATCCCAGGGTTTGCATATCTTACACTGGACCACTAGGTTCCATTAATCTTAGTTCCCAGACTCATTTTTCAAATTCTCAGAGTAGAAGGTCCTGGAGTACCAGTCTTTGAGAATTAATGTTTGCAGAGTAAGGACTGTTGGCCAATGATCAAGGAGAAAGGACTTAAAAGGATGCTCTCTGGATTCTGGATCTTCTAGAAATGAGTTTCTGGGAGCCTAGTTGCCCTGGGAGAGCATTCAAGGTCACTAAGAAAGATCTACACAGGGAGGGACACTTCAGAATTCACCCAAGTTTGGGCCAACAGGCGGAGGTCCTTGGTGTTAAGGACCAAATACCAAGCAAGGTTCTCAGGCACTGCAGTTGCTTTTTTTGTTTTTGTTTTTGTTTTTTGTTTTTTTTTTGCCGGTTGTGGAGCCTAAACTCTGGGCCAGGGCGCTGTCCTTCAGCTCTTTAGCTCAAGCTAGCACTGTACCACTTGAGCTACAGCGCCACTGCGGGCTTTTTCTGCTTATGTGGTGCTGAGGAATGGAACTCAGGGCCTCCATGCATGTGAAGCAAGCACTCTACCACTGAGCCACCTTCCCAGCCCCTGCAGCTGCTTCTTGATTTACAGTGTGACTATGTCCAATAAACTCATCATAAATTGAAAATATCCTAAGTCAAACTGGACATGGTGGCTCATGTTTGTCATCCTAGCTACTTGGGAGGCTGAGATTTGGAGGACTGTGGTTTGAAGCCATCCCAAGTCCTTCTCAACTCATAGTTGGGTACAGTGACCTATTATCCCAAGCTAGACAGGAGGCTGAGACTGAGAGGATCATGGTTCCAGGCCAGCCTGGGCAGAAAAAATCCGTGAGACTCCATCTCCAAAGTGGGAAGCTGGGCATAGCGGCATGCACCTGTGACCCAGAAATGATAGAAGCAAGACCCTATCTCAAAAATAACCAGTAAAAGACAGGGTGGCTCCTGTCTGTAATCCTAGTTACTCAGAGGCTGGGACCTGGAGAATTGTGGTTTCAAGCCAGTTTGAGCAGAAGTCTGTGATACTAGGCACCAGTGGCTCATGTCTGTAATCCCAGGTAGTCAGGAAACTGAGATCTGAGGATCATGGTTCAAAGCCAATGTGAGCAGGAAAGCCTGTGAGACTCTTGATTATCTCCAATAAATAACCAAAATTCGGAAGTTAAGCTGTGATTCAAGCGGTAGAGCACTAGCCTTGAGCAAAAAAAGCTTAACACTTGGGCCCTAAGAGACTACATGTTCAAAAACATTAGCCTTGGGGCTGGGAAGGTGGCTCAGTGGCAGAGCGCTTGCCTTGCATGCTCGAGGCCCTGGGTTCGATTCCTCAGCACCACATAAGCAAAAAGAAAAAAGCCGGAAGTGGCGCTGTGGCTCAAGTGGTAGAGCGCTAGCCTTGAGCTGAAGAGCTGAGGGACAGCACCCAGGCCCAGAGTTCAGGCCCCACGACTGGACCCAAAAAAAAAAAAAAAGACAGCATGAACAGATCAAGATGTGGAGTTCCTTAGCCTGGGAGAAGCACAAGTAATAGCCTGCAGCCTGCCCTGGAGGCCTTGGGAGAGGCCAGTTGCCTTCCATAAACTTCTAATGAACCCTCATAGGTACCCTTGCCTGGGATACCCAGAAACTGAGCTCCTCCCAAGAAGTGGAGGCCTATGAGCAGCAAGGACTTGGGTGTGGGGTGATTCAGACACTGGTCTCACCTGGCTGAATTCAGGCTCATATTCCACACGACCCTTGCTGTTGACATGCAGGATAGGGGCTGCAATGGCTTCTGCCAGATCAAAGCCAAGCCACAGCTTGTTCATGATGGTCTGGGACAGAGGGGAGAAGAGGATGCAGGAATGGAGGGGCACCCATTACTCCACAGGAATGGTCCCAAACCCACCCAACAAGGCCTCTCAGACAAGGGAGGGCTCTATGCAAGAACCCTCGGACTTACCTGGACCACCGCAGAGATGATGAGCTCTCCGCCAGCCCCACCAATAATCAGCTTTGATCTCTGGGCTTCGTTGACCAAGATGGAGGGTACCATGGATGATGGTGGCCTCTCACCTGGAACTGAGAGCCCAACGGGCACCACGCACAAACTCTGGGAGCAGCACCAACCCTGTCCGCACTCATTACTGAGTCAGTGGCTTGTACAAGCAGGGCAATCCACCCAGTGGTCAGCATAGCCACCCACCTTCCTCCTCTCCCCCCAGAGAGGGTTGCTTATAGAAGCTGAGCCAGAGACCTTGCTCTTACCAGGTTGTGGGGTGACCTTGAGTCCTGGCTGCTGTCTCCAACATAGATCCAGCAGTTCATTGTTGAGGAGAATGCCAGTCCGTGGTGAGTACACCATTGCTCCAAAGCTGCAGCCAGGGGAGACGGAGCTTGGAGCTTGGAGCTTTGGTTCTCACGAACCCAGTGCCAACCTCTCAGGATTGTCTGTGTCACAGCTGCCCACCGGCAGGCAGAAGCCTAGCACCAATCAGAGGCCCCCTCTAAGATCCCTTTGTGCCCTCCTACCCCAGCAACAGCCTTGTTTTAGCCAGAGATGTCTTGGGTGTGAGATTCCTTTTATCAGACAGGAAAAAGAGAAGAGAAAAAGCAAAGTGCAGCTTCCCTGGGGCTAGGGGAGGCCAGAAGTGTAGACCAAGCTGGAGACAAAGGGGGTTTAGATCCTAGGAGCAAACAACAGGGTCCTTTCTTTCTGCCCCTGGGCCCCACTCACGGTGTGTTGATGGTGCTGGTGGCAGCCACAGCGCTACCATCCTCTCCTAGCACAGACACGTGGGAGGTGCCCATCCTCAGGCCCCAGGCTCCAGTCAAGTTGTAGTAGCTGAGCTGATGGTCCCCATGGTCATCGATCTGCTGGCGGATGTGCTGGGCCAGAGCGTCCTCCAGCAAATCTTGGGAGGCATTCTGGGGTGGGTGGGCAGGCAGCAGGGTCAGCGAAGTGCCAGGTAGGGTCCTCAGAGCAGAGGGTAGGTTGAACTCAGTTTCCTTGGGCACTCTTTCCAGTCTATCTCGGAGAGACTTCCTTGAATTCAGGCTATGCCCAGACCTGTCATTCCAGAGTCCCCAGGGCCACTATTGAACAGTTCCTTCCAAAAACCACATAGAAATCTCTCCATCCTTCCCCTGCCATGCCTGACCCTTCCCTACTTCCTTCTGAGCTTTGGGACAGGGAAGAGGATTCCCAGATGACTCCAGGAGCCTCACCTGGACCATTGGGTGGCTGCGAGGGTCCCACAGCCGCCACCTCTGACCTCCTGCAAACTTGAGTGTCTCCACGAGGTGGTGATACATGTTCACTTTCCCTTCAGGCTGGGCCACCGATTCTGCAGAGAAGTTGAACCCTGGAAAGGCAGTGGAGAATAGATGGGGGTCATCCTGTGTGGTGGAGCAAATGTTGGCTTCCCCTCCACAGAAAGATTTAGTCATGTCCTAACGCCCAGACTCTGTGACTATACTTTAAACAGTACAAGAGTCAGGATTATCTTCCATAGTAAAATAAGTCAAATTAAGGATTGTGAGAGAAGGTAATTATCCTGGATATGCAGGTGGGCCCTAGGCATGAGTCATGTGTATTGTTATAAATCAGACATTGAGGAAAGGAGGAGCCAATATAGCGGGTCCTTCTTATCTGCAGTTTTATTTTCCCCAGTTTCAGCGACCTAATCCCAGTCTGGAAATAGTAAATAAAAATTCCAGACATAAACAATGCATAAACTTTAAGTGTATGTCCCGGTGAAATTTTAAATTGAGTAGTGGGATGAAAACTCATGCTGTTCAGCTCCATCTTACCAGGGATATGAATCATCCCTATGTCTAGTGGATCTACACTGTATACGCTGCCTGCCTGCCTGTCAGTCCTTACCTATTGGCCTACCATCCAAATGATTAGATCAGTGTTCATTTCAGTAGGGTACTTATACTAAAGTAAGACCTATTTCAATTAACAATGGCTCCAAAGGACAAGAATAGTGCTCTGGAAAGTCTCCAAAGATCCGTGTGTTAAAACCTTGGTCCTCAGCTTAGTGTTCTGAGGAAGTAGTGAAACTATTAAGAGGTGGAACCTAGTGGGAGGCTTTGGGTTATTGGGCACGTGGCGCAGAAGGGGTTTATGGAACACAACTTCTTCCTCTTCCTCTTTTACTTTCCAGCTGCCATAAGGTGAGTCGCTTTCTCGACTGCAGGCTTCTGTGATGTGTACCACCTTACCATACCACACCACAGCCCCCAAAGCAATGAACCAACCAAGAATGGATTGAAGCCCTCTTAAACTGTGAGCCAAAATAAATCTTTTGTCTTCATAAGCAGATTTATCACAAGCATTTGTTACAGCAATGGAAAGCTAATACAAATAAGGATGCTGGCAATTTGTGGGATTTCGGGATAGGGTGGGTATGAGTTCAAACTGGGATTTAAACTCAGAGCCTGAGTGTTGTCCTTTAGCTTTTTGGCTAAAGGCTAGTGCTCTACCACTTGAGTCACAGCACCACTACCAGATTTTTGGTGGTTAATTGGAGATAAGAGTCTCATGGACTCCCCTGTCTGGGCTAGCATCAAGCTGTGATCCTCAGATCTCCACCTTCTGAGTAGCTAGGATTTATACGAACGAGCCACTGACATTCAGCTTGATGCTGACAATTTGAATATATCAAAGAGAAGCTGTAAAGTGCTTCCTTTTAAGCGAAAGTGCACTTGATTATTATTGGTAATTCTTATTATGCCTATTTCATAAATTAAAATTTATCATAGGTGTGTGAGTGTGAGTGTGTATGTGTAAGAACATAATATATATATACATCCAATTAAGGTCCTGGAATGTGTCCCCTGCAGATAAACACTATTGTAAGGCTGCAGAGGCAGAAATTAGATTGATGCAGCCAAAGAAGCTGGAAAAGACAAAGAACAGGTTTTTCCCTGGAACCCCTGGAGGGAATGTGGCCCCATGAACAATGTGCTGTGAAATTTCCAGTACTGTACAGTAATACAGTGTTGTTGTATGGTCATGATAATTTGTTATAGTATCCACCAGACACTAATACAGCCAGCCTAAGGCAGTCTCAGACCTAGGAAGCCTCCTTCAGGCTATGATATCCTGGGTTTTCGTCCCAGGCCTAAGTGCAGACCTCATATGGGAAGCTCATTCATCTGAAGAGTCTGCCTGTTCCTGTGCCATGCCTTTGTACCTACTAGGGAGGAGGATGTCAGTTCTTCCAACAAAACCTCAAATACCAGTCCTCTAGAGTAGCTCTAGAACATACCATCCTGACTGGTGTCTATAGTACTCTTTTTTTCTTTTCCTTTTCTTTTTTTGACAGTCCTGAGGCTTGAACTCAGGGCCTGGCACTGTTCCTGAGCTTCTTTTTGCTCAAGGGTAGTACTCTGACATTTGAGCCACAGTATCACTTCTGGCTTTCTCTGAGTATGTGATACTGAGCAGAATAAGCAGTGGCACCTGCTATGGTTGGGATGTGTTTTGAGTATCTCCTAGTGTTCCATTGTGATTGAGGACTTAGTCCTCTAATTGCTGCATTGGGAAATTGTCTTTAAGAAGTGGGGGCTGGTGGGAGGTACTTAGGTTGCTGGAGGCTAGAAGGTGGCTTATGTGAGGTACCTTAGTAGTTCTCAAAAGAGGGTTATTTCCAGGTGCTGATGGCTCACGTCTGTAATCTTAGCTACTCAGGAGGCTGCAATCTGAGGATCACAGTTTGAAGCCAGCCTGGGCAGGAAAGTCTGTGAGACTCTTCTCTCTAATAAAAAACAAAAAACAAAAAAACAAAAAAAACTACTCAGAAAAAGCCAGAAGTGATGTTGTGGCTCAAGTGGTAGAGTGCTAATCTTGAGCAAAAGAAACTCAGAGCCAGTACCCAGGCCCTGAGTTCAAACCCCAGGACCAGTTTAAAAAAAAAGTTGTTATGAAAAGAGCAGGTTGAACCCTACTCAGCTCTCACAGCTACTTGGCTTGAGATATGACCACTTACTCAGACACAAGTTTTCACCATTGTGGTCTACCATCACCACTTAGCATGGGTCCCTTATCAGAACAGAGCCAATGAGCCAAAGCAAATGCAATGCCCTTGAATCTCCAAAACTCATGAAATAGAACTCCTTTTCTAGAAGCAGAGGTATGGCTCAAGTGGCAGAGCACCAGCCTTGAATGAAAAAGCCCAAGATCCTAAACTCAAGCCCCAGTACCAACACACACACACACACACACACACACACACACACACACACACACACACATACACACACACACACACGCAAACAAACAAAAACTCTTTTTCTTTTTTAAGTTTTTTTTTTGGGGGGGGGAGGGTCCGGTCGTGGGGTTTGAACTCTGGGCCTGGGCACTGTCCCTCAGCTCTTCAGCTCAAGGCTAGCGCCCTACCACTTGAGCCACAGCGCCACTTCCGGCTTTTTTCTTTTTGCTTATGTGGTGCTGAGGAATCGAACCCAGAGCCTCAGGCATGCAAGGCAAGCGCTCTACCACTGAGCCACCTTCCCAGCCCCCCTTCCTTTTCTTTATAAGTAGCCACATCAGGGTTTTTTGTTTGTTTTTTTAAATAATGATGAAAACTGATTAAATCACTCTGCCTGGCTATGGTTGGGCTGGGAGGTCAGGTTCCCAGGAGAGGAGCCCTAAGATTTTACCCCTGAGCACATTGAGGATAAAGCTGAGAACGGCGCCCCCTCCAGGTGGTGGTGGTGAGTACAGGGTATAGTTTCCCAGGGACATCTCCAGGGCATCTACCACTTCAGGCTGGAATGCAGCTAGGTCCTGGAGCGTCAGTTGGCTTCCTGAGTTGAAAAGGAGAGAGATCCAGGTACAGATGTCAAAAGTAAGGCAAAAGAAGGATTAACATTGGCCCCAGGACACTGGAGGGGGGTGGTCCTCTTGGCCCTTAGCCATTGTAGACCTGGTGAAGTGATGGGTCTGTGAGCAGTGGAATGGGGCGGGTAGATCCGAAGAAGATGTGAAGAAGGGGAGAGGAAGAAGAACGTGTACAAACTCAGTTTCCTAGGCCTACATAATGATGTGGAACTGCCTTCTGCTGGCTTTGAGAGGGCCTTGCCCTTTGAAGTCCTAGACCACAGAAGCCCCTGAAGCCAACAGGGACTTGGCTGGACACCTGGCCTCTCCCTGGCCTCTGCCCTGGGAGCAGCAGGCACTCTATCAGAGCTTGGGGAAGACCTCACATTCAACTCCCAGCACCCAGAATTTGGCTCTTTCTGTGTTCAGGACAGATATTAGAATGTCAGGGTAGCTAACCTTCCTTGGCAATGTCCTCTATCAGCATCTGGCCCAGTCTCCCTGTGTAGAAGGCCTCTGCACCCTCCGTGGCCACAGTCTCCAGTGTGGTGGCCAGAGCAGGCCATGGGAATGGGTCCTGAGGCCTCAGGATTTCTGTCCCATTGAAGAAGAGCTGCCTGGGGGAACAGGGAAGCAATCTCAGAGTAAGAAAGGGTCCACAGGGCAGCCCTTCTGCCAGTGATCTAGTGGGATCCTTGGGACTTTTCTTGGGGAACAGCCCTGGCTTAGGAGCCTGAGGTACTTAAGATGAAAAACAATGGGATAGATTCTCTTAAGAACAGGGCACAAGGCACCATTACTTAGCAATAAACTCTTCAGGGCCTGATCTATCTGAAGCTAGGTTTCAATCTGAGACAGAAAAGCCCTGACCAGGCCTTATGGTCCCTGACACCTCCAGTTCAAGGCAGAACTGAGGCAGAGCTGAGACCTGGTTAGGCTCAGATAGAAGATGGTCTTGAACCCGGGACCACCACTGCTTACCTCAGGGTAGATGCATACAAAGAAGGCCTCAGAAAGGTGCTGTTCAGGAACTTGCTGAGGATAGAGGGCATACGGTAGCCCCCTCGGAGCAGTGTGATGGTGGGCTCGAACAGTTGTGCCCAGGGCAGGCGGCCATAGCGGCGGTGGGCCTCTGCATAGCCACGGAGCTCCCCAGGAACCCCGATCCACTGAACTCCTGTACAGAATACCCCTGCCCTCAGCTCTGTGGCTTCCAAGCTGGTCAAGAGCTTCCTACTTTTCTCTCTGCCCGTCTCCTGTCCTCCTCAGCATGTCAGCCAGAGAAAGCTTTTGGAACCCAGGTACAGACCTTCTGTGGCTCCACAGGACAAGGCACTGGACTGGGGCTTGAACTCAGAGGCTGAGCACTGTCACTTAGCTTTGTTGTTCAAGGCTAGCACTCTAGCACTTGAGCCACAGCTCTACTTCTTGCTTTGGTGGTTCATTGGAGATAAGAATCTCATGGATTTTCCTGCCTGGGGTGGCTTTGAACCACAATCCTCAGATCTCAGCCTACCAAGTATCTAAGACTATAGGCATGAACCGCCAGTGTCTGACAGAGAAGACACTTCTACACATAGTCCATATTAAAAAGTCTGCAGCTAAGCCCTGTCTCAAAAACCTATTTCCACTGAACACCCAGAACATTCCTCAGCCTGGCCCTCTCCTGGGAATACCCCTCCTTATTCAGACAGACCCCACACGCACACCCCAAGAAACACTCTCCTGACTCCAGGTCTCCAACTTCCAGCTCCCATGATAGGGTGTCATAGCCTGTCCAGAAGGCATATGGCCCTGTTAGCCATCCACAATGGCTTAGCAGGGTGGGGTGGAAGACCCTTTCAGAGCTCACCTGTGCCCAATGGCAGGGCCTTTCCACACTGGTCCAGCAGGTCCCGGTTGTGCTTGGCAGGTACTGTCTCTCTGGCGTTGATGACCTCTACCTTTCCTGGAGTGAGGGTAGATCAAGAGGGTGGTCATGGTTCTGTCAGACGGTCTTAGACTGTCCTAGATCTCAGCTTTTCTCAGTGTGCTCACACTTGCAGGGCTTTCAACCCGAGGTGAAAGAGGCAGGACAAAGAGGCCTCCGTGTCCCAGGAAGGGGCATAGGAAGGGTTAGTGGTTTGGGACAAGTTGGCCCTCCCCGTGGAGGAGAACATGGGCCCACCTGTTGTTGCATTGTAGACTGTGAAGATGACCCCTCCGCCCAGGCCCATGCTCTGGGGGTTGACAACACCCGTGCAGACCAGGGCTGCGATTGCAGCATCCACAGGTGAGCCTTGCTGCTGGAGGATGGCTCTAAGAGACAAGGCACAAGGTCAGTGGTTTGCTTGCCCTCCCACAGCCTCCGCATCTGGGCTCATGTAGATAGCACTCACTGGGAAGGAATGACAGGTGAATGGGTGGCCTGTTGGCTGCCAGAAAACCCCAGTTTAAGTCAGAAAACAGACTGGGCAGCCTCTTCTTCAAGTCCAGCTGTTTAGTGGGTTTATCTATAATGTAAGTTACACCACTCTTTTCAGTTCGTAAAGAGCTTCTGCGAACATGGTTTCTAGGAGCTCCTGACAGCAAAGGCTCATTTGTTGTTGTTGTTGTTGTTGTTGTTTTGGGGGGGGTCCGGTCGTGGGGCCTGAACTCTGGGCCTGGGCGCTGTCCCTCAGCTCTTCAGCTCAAGGCTAGCGCTCTACCACTTGAGCCACAGCACTACTTCCAGCTTTTTTCTTTTTGCTTATGTGGTGCAGAGGAATTGAACCCAGGGCCTCAGGCATGCAAGGCAAGTGCTCTACCACTGAGCCACTTTCCCAGCCCCAGCAAAGGCTCATTTGTAACTGGTAGAACCTGGCCTGGATCACCCCCTTACTGTTTCTTCTTGGACGCTACTCCCCATCTTTACTGGTTTCAAACCCTTTAAAAGGCGGTCACTCATGACTCCTGGAAACTGACCTGCCTCCAGGCCCTAGGACTGAGCTTCTAGCCCTTTTGGCTAGCTTTGGTCAGCTAGCCTGGGGTGCAGCAATCCTGTCCTTAGGACAACAACCCTGCACAGCTCACCTGGGGCTGCCTCTTCCCTAATACTCAGAAACCTCCCTTATACCCCCTAAAAGCCAGTATTTAAGGCCTTGTTATCAATGAGGAAATAAGATTTGAAGGAGTGGCCCTGAGTACCTTGTTCTCCTCTCATAGGACACTTGACCCCAGCAACTTCCCTCAGCTCAGTTCCTACAGCTTGATCAGTCCATCCCAAACTCCAGCCCTCCCCAGATTCTGACTTCTGTATTCTTATCATGTGCCAAATAAAGACACGGAATCTTAGAATGGGAAAGGGGACAGTAAGCTAGCTATAGGAACAAAAGTCTATATGATCAGGCATAATTACAAATTTAAAAATAAAACACCATCAACAAATCTAGTAAGGAAACCAAGATCAGAAGATTGAAGTATGGGAGGTGGTTAAGGTAGAAAAGTCCAAAAGAGGGGCTGGGAAAGTGGCTCAGTAGTACAGCGCTTGCCTTGCATGCCTGAGGCTCTGGGTTCGATTCCTCAGCACCACATAAGCAAAAAAGAAAAAAGCCAGAAATGGCACTGTGGCTCAAGTGGTAGAGTGCTAGCCTTGAGCTGAAGAGCTGAGGGACAGCACCTAGGCCCAGAGTTCAGGCCCCACTACCGGACCCCCCCCCCCCAAAAAAAGAAAAGTCCAAAAGATTCCATCTCCAATTAACCAGCAAAACACTAAGCTAGAGGTGTGGCTGAAATGGTAGAGCACCAGCCATGAATGAGGAAACTGAGGGATAGTAAAAGACCTGAGTTCAAGCCCTGGTCTGGGAATAGTGGGGAAGGGGAAGAAAGACAGATTGCCTTCAAAGAAGCAAAATTAGACCTAGAGCTTACTCCTTAGTAGATCTGAAAAAGACCAGAGATGAGGACATGATGTTTTTACAGTAAGGGAAATGCTGGGCTATTCAGGAGGCTACTGTGATCTGAGGATCACAGTTCAAAGCCAGCCCGGGCAGGAAAGTCTGTGAAACTCTTATCTCCAATAAACACTCAGAAAACTGGAAGTGGCACTGTAGCTCAAGTGGTAGAGTGCTCACCTTGAGCTGAAGAGCTGAGGGACAGCGCCCAGGCCCAGAGTTCAAGCCCCACAACCGACAAAAAACAAACAGACAAATAAACAAAAACCTCAGTATTTCAGACAGGGGAAGTGGGCATCTCAGAAGCTGAGCTAACCAACAGGTCAGCCTGGGCTACATATAGATCTTATATCAAGGAGAAAAGAAGGAGGAAGAAGATGAAGAGAAAGAAGAAGAAAAGAGGAGGAGGATGAAGGAAGGAAGGAAAGAAGGAAGGAAGGAAGGAAAAACAAGTAGGAAAGAAGGAATTTTTTTTTAAAGAAACATCAAGGAGAAAATTACAAGCACACATAATTTCCCTTAAAATAGTGATTAGAAATAGAGTAAATTACATATAAATATGAATAAGAATCTTCCTCCCACCTCTCATGCTGGTAGTGGGGTAGTTTCTCTTAGCTTTCTCTTAGCTTTTTTTTGTTTGTTTGTTGTTGTTGTTGTTGTGGGGCTTCAACTCAGCTTGGGCGCTGTCCTTGTACTCTTCAGCTGAAGGCGAGTGCTCTACCGCTTGAGCCACAGCACCACTTCTGGTTTTCTAATGGGTTTATTGGAGATAGTCTCATGAACTTTCCTGCCTGTTCTGGCTTTGAACCTCGATCCTCAGATCTCAGCCTCCTGAGTAGCTAGGATTACAGGCGTGAGCCACCGGCTCCCAGTTTCTTAGCTTTTTTGCTCAAGGCTGGTGCTCTACCCCTTGAGTCACAGCTCTATTTTTGTATTATTTTCTGGCTAATGGATTTTCTTGCTCAGGCTGGCTTTAAACTTCAATCTTCATATCTCAGCCTCTTAAGTAGCTATAATTACAGGCATGAGCCAGTGGTGCTGGCAACAGTGAGACTTTTAAGTATATCTTTTTAACGTCTAACTGGGAGCAACACTTTTAAGTATACCTTTTTTTTTTTTTTTTGCCAGTCTCGGGGCCTGAACTCTGGGCCTGGGCGCTGTCCCTCAGTTCTTCAGCTCAAGGCAAGTACTCTACCACTTGAGCTACAGTGCCACTTTGGCTTTTTCTGCTTATGTGGCACTGAGGAATTGAACCCAGGGCCTCATACATGCAAGGCAAGCGCTCTACCACTGAACCACCTTCCCAGCCAAGTATACCTTTTTTATTAAAAAATAAATTAAAATAAAAGTAAGTTGTAGGCTGAGATCTGAGGATCATGGTTTGAAGCCAATCCAGGCTGGAAAGTCCACTTAATTGTCAAAAAATCCGGAAGTGGCTGGAATGTAGCTTAGTGGTAGAATGCTTGCCTAGTATGCATGAAGCCCTGGGTTCAATTCCTTAGTACCACATAAACCAAAAAAGCTGGACGTTGTGCTATGGCTCAAGTGGTATAGTGCTAACCTTGAACAAAAGAAGCTCAGGGACAAGCCGGGTACCCATGGCGCATGCCTGTAATCCTAGCTACTCAGGAGGCTGAGATCTGAGGATCGAGGTTCAAAGCCAGCCTGGGCAGGAAACTCCGTGAAACTCTTATCTCCAATAAACCACCAGAAAACCGGAAGTGGCACTGTAGCTCAAGTGGTAGAGTGTTCACCTTGAGCTGAAGAGTGCAGGGACAGAGCCCAAGCCCAGAGTTCAAGCCCCACGACCCACCAAAAAAAAAAAAAAGAAGAAGCTCAGAGACAGCACCCAGGCCCTGAATTCAAGCCTGAGGACTGGCCAAAAAAAAAAAAAAAAAAAAGCGTAGCTGTAGCTCAAGTAGTAGCGTATTAACTTTGAATACAAAATCTCAGACCCTGAGTTTCAGCCCCTGTACCAACACAATAACAAACAAACAAACAAACAAATAATGAGAAAATAAGATCCTAAAATGAAAACATATTGAAAAAACAAGCTAATAGTATATTAAACTAAAAACACCAACCTACCAGAAAAATCTTTTAATTAATTGTACATATTTTGTGGGATCTATGCTAAGGACAAAAATAAAATAAAACTTTTGTAAAACAGGATATCTCAAATTTCACCTAGTAGATTTATTGTTAGTAATAAGGAAGTGGAGCTGTAATAATATTGTTATTGAAGCAATTCCAAAACCCTTTTATGAGTATTTTCGGATAGGACAGGAAAGTAAATACACTGACATTTGGGGGGGACTTTGTCACATGGGAAAAGAATTTATAAATACAGGCTAGAGAAAGATGGGAAACCAGCCCTGTTGGGGCTGGGAGTGGGAGGTAGGAACCGTCAGTATGAAGCATGGTATTTCCTAAAGATTTGCTTGTTCTGCCTCTCTACATAGAAACAACCAAGCAGTAAAGGCATCCTACGTGGCAACAAGCAGGCCTCGGTTCCAGATTGTAGGTGCTAAAATATCATTATTTCCTGGGTGCCCATGTTGCATGAGTATAATTATAACTACTCAGGAAGCTGAGGTCTGAGGATCTCAGTTCAAAGCCAGTCAAAGCAGGAAAGTCTCTAAAACTTTATCTCCAATTAACCCATAAAAAGACATAAAATGGAGGTATGGCTCAAGTGGTAAGGTGTCAGCCTTGAGCAGGAAAAGCTAAGCAAGAGTGTGAGGTCTGAGTCCAAGCCCCCAGTATACTCTTCTCTCTCTCTCTCTCTCTCTCTCTCTCTGTCTCTCTCTCTCTGTCTGTCTCTCTCTGTCTCTGTCTCTCTCTCTCTCTCTTTCTCTCGCTGGATGGAACCCAGGGTCTCTTGAATGCTAGGCAAGTGTTCTATCACTGAGCCATGACCTCCTCCTCATGTATTTGATATAAGACGAAAACGGGTATGATGTGCTGTACACAGAAAAAGATATGTACCACACAGCACTCATGGTTGGATTCCCCCTCTGCCTGGTGCCAGGCAGGCACCTCAGCTCCCTGAGCCTGAGGAGCTGTGAAATGTGGGTATTTCTGGCCAGCAGGAGAATTTACAGATCTCTAATGTAGTTGTCAAAAAGTCAGGAGACTTCCATCACCATCACTGTGGCCACACACCTACTCAGACATGTGTGTTCACAGGCACATATTTTCACACATGTAAATAGTGCTTGGGCATGAAGGGCATTTCCCCGAGTCCCAGAGGACAGGAAATACAGTCATTTCCTAGTGAGCTGACCCACAGCATCGAGAGCCACAAGGGTCCCAGCCCCACAGGAAGGGGAAGGACTGAGATGAAAAGTTATGGCCCTGGCAGCAGGGAACTAGGGACTACACCCT